GAGTTTAGGGCTATTGTACACAGGGTCACTATGAGTCGCAAGTGACTCAATGGCACATAACAACAACAATAAAGTAAAACCTGAACCACTGAGAAGCCTATCTTGACATAGTGCATTGTTTGAAAAGCATTGAAAGTTTCCTGCCATTGACAGATGCAAGCTTGCCACCTACCTCTTGCTTGTTTTAGTGGAAAATAGAATTTTGTCTTCTCTGATAAGTTTTTGCCTCACCCAGGGTCTGGCTTTCACAAATTTCCCTTGTTGCTATGTGCTGTATTCTTGACTCTGACTCATAGTGACCCTATGTATAACATAGGGTTATACTGATCCCTGGTCTATCTTAAGCCAGTTTCATTGTCTTTGACACACTTATCCTCATTACCCTAGTTACTGAGTGAGTTAATCTCATCCAGAGTTTCCTTTCTTGTGCTGTTCCTCTACCCTTCCAAGCATGATGTCCTTGTCCAAGGACTGGTCTCTCCTTGCAACATGCCCAAAGTATGTCAGATAAGGCTTCAAAATCCTTTTTTCCAAGGAGAAGCCTGGTTTCACCCTCTCCAGAATAGATCTGTTTCTTCTCTTAGCAGTCCATGTTATATTCAATACTCTTCTCCAGCACTGCAACTCCAAGGCATTAATTCTTCTTCTATCATTCTTAGTTATTGTCCAGATCTCCGATGCATAACAAGTAATGCGAAGACCATGGGATAAGGAGCACCCTAGTCTCCAGACTGACATCATTGCTCTTCAGTACTCTATAAAAGTCCCTGACAGCAGATTTTCTCAGTGCATATTAGTCTTCAGATTTCCTGGCTGTTGGTGCCAAGAATCTTAAGATTGGAGCTAAGCAAACTGAAGTTGTTAACAGTCTCAGTCTCTTCTCTATCATGATGCTGCCAGTTGGTCTAGTGGTGAGAATCTTTTTTTTCTTGTTGAGCTTTAATCCATATTGAAGGCTTCAGTTCTTGACCTTCTGCAGCAAATGTTGCGGGTCCTCCTCAGTTTTGGCAAGCAAGGTTATGTCATTTGCATAATACAAGTTGTTACTGAATCTTCTTCCAATCCTGATGCCACAGTCCTCCTCATTGAGCTCAGTCTCCCAGATGATCTGTTCTGCATATAGATTGAAAAGGTATGGAGATAGAATACATCCCTGGCACACATATTTCCTAATTTTGAATCATGCAGTGTTTCCTTGCTCTGTTCTGACAATTTCACTAAACTGTAAGAAGAAAAATTAAAAAGTGATGTTCCCTTGTCTTTGCCCCTTGTCTTAAGAAAATTCAGGGAAGCAGAACCCATAAAATAGATAGACAAACACAGATCTAGATAGACACAGAGCTGGACACAGAGGTTATTTTAAGGGATTAGCTCATACAACTGTGGGATCTGGCAAATCTAAAATCCAGGGAGAAGACAGTGAGCTGGAAACTCTGACAGTCTATTTAGTCTGAAGGCAGAATCCTTCTCTTTTGGGCAATTTCCGGTTTTGCTCCCAAGGTCTTTAGCTGATTATTTGAAGCAAGGCCACAGTATGGAGTCCTCATTGATACGATTTTTTAAAGCAATTTAATTTAAACATTGATCATGTGTAAATTCCTTCAAAGCAATCATTAACTAGTATTTGACTTAACAACATGGCAACATAGCCAAGCCACACTGACAAATAGAGCTAACCATCAGAATTACCACCCCACACCCTCACCGTTACCCCACTGATAAGGACATGAGTAGCTCGCTGACTTAACCCTTCTGTTCAAATACAGTTTTCTACAAAGGGGGCTCTACTGCAGACCCTTCCTCAGAGGAGGGGGCACTGCTGGATACTGGAGGTACTTGCTAAGTCTCTGCTTCTTCCCTTTGTTCTCTTTCTCCTTCTTCCTTGACAGATTGGGATGAGTGTGCAGACAGCCTGGAGAACGACTGCTCAGCGGATGCCCAGTGCCTCAACCTTGAGGGCTCTTACACCTGCCGCTGCCAGACGGACATTGATGCCAACCCCTCCCGGGCGGGCCGGGCCTGTGTAGGTGGGTGTCCCCACCCTCCAGGACCTGGGGGCTGGCAGGGCTGACTCTCAGAGCCTGTAGTTCACAAGATTTTCAGGAGCCTGTGCAAATATTTCTATTTTAATTTCTTTCAAAACGAAAAGAGCTTTTCATTTGTTGTTGAGTCAGTTCTAACTTACGGTGCCCTGTGTATGTTAGAATAGACTTGCACACTGTTTGAGTGTCAGTGACTGAATTTTCAGCCCTATATTACCAGATCTTTCTTCTGAGGTGCGTCTGGGTGGACTCGAACCGCCAACTAACTGGTTAGTGGCCAAGCACATTACCTGTTTGCGCTGGCCAGGAATTTCGGTGCAAGAATAAGGAATATATAATCATGAATCCAGCCTGGATTCTAGTAATATTTTTAGTAAATTATATTTACTATTCAGTAAATTAGGGAGCCCTGGTGGCCTAGGGGTAAGAAACTGTACTGCAATCCCAAAGGCATGCAGTTCAATCCCCTAGTTGCTCTGCTGGTAAAGGATGGACCATCTCCTCCCATGTGATTTACTGCCTCTAGAAACCTGCTGCAGGGTCAGCTGTGGGTTGGTTCTGACTCGAAGGTACACAATAACAACAACAACAATTCAGTAAATTGTAAAGTAGAATTTTCAAGACTGATTTTTAATGTAGGAAGGGGCTCCTGGTGAGGTCCTGACAAGGGGACTACTGCTCCAGGTGACAGCAGGTCTGAGAGCTGAACTGAGCCTAGATTAATGCCCACATATGAGCCCTCCTAAGACATGCCTATTGTGTATTATGAGCTCTCCTGTTCACTGAAAGGTCAGAAGTTTGAATCCACCTGCTGCTTTGTGGGAGGGACATGAACAATCTCCTCCACAATGATTTCTCACCTCAGAAACCTGATGGAGGCATAGTCCATAGATGGCAGTGGGAAAAGAATTCTGTTGGTACGATGCCTTGCATATTAGAATATTAACCAAAAGGCCAGTGGTTCGGATCCACCAGCTGTTCCATGGAGAAAAACAATCTCTCTATAAAAAGGTACAGCCTATGAAGCTCAATGGAGACTCTCAATGAGTTATCATCAACTTGATATTAATAGTGGTTTTGGTTTGGGCTTCTGAGGTCTCCTGAGCCCCAGGCTCAGTGTGTCTGTGCCAAAATCTTTTCTGGAATCAATTCTGAATGTTTGGTACAGATTCTGTGGTGCAGATTCTGCACTGTCAGGAGTACAGAGTAGAGAAGTGTGAGGAGGATACGCCCAGATTTGAATGTTGATGTTTGATTGGTCATGTCTGCCCTGGATGCAGCCCAGTGGGGAGTAGAGGCTGCTTGATATCCCCCTAAAAGCTGAAAGGAGCAATAGAGACTCAATTCCTGTCAAGAATACCTCTTTGCTTTTAAAAAGAGAAAGTCTATAGTATGCATGTCCCCACAATTTCTCTTCTTTTTATTTATAATTGTTGTGTGCTGTATTGGAACCAAGCCACATCTGACCCTATAGCATGTTTTCAAAGACTATAAATCGTACAGGTGGAGAATGCCCATCTTTCTCCCAAAGTCCTGCTGGTGGGTTTGAACTAGGTGCTTTTGGGTTGGCAGCAAAACTCACCTGATAATCTAGTAAGAGAACTGATCCTCATCATAGTTCTGCTGCCCTGAGGTGGTTCTCATTTCAGGATCTTGCATCACTCATACTGTGGGATGCCTACTTTGCCTCCCATGAGAGCTCCAAGAAGACTGTAAAAATTCACCCCACTAATAAAACCTGCAAACATCAACCAAGGCAGCCGTGGCACCTGGGAACTATGGGTGCTGTCTAACTGTGGACACCCTCACTTAGGAGCCCTCTGATAACCATTGCCAGGGGTAGACCAGAAGCCCAGGGGTAGAGCTGGTAGATCAGATGTCTGAGAGTGAATATGTGTGTTTGCAGGTGAGTTGGCGAGTTCCACAGAAGGCACACTGCTTTCAGCAACAGGGTCGATGGCCACAGCTCTTGGGACAGAAGCATCTACTGATGGTACCATGGTTACTACAGGCCAGTCCACCCTTGGGACCCCTGCTTTGACACAGAACTCCAGAAACCCCTTGAGAACCCCAACAGTAGACGAGACCTTGACCTCTGGACTCCCACCCAGAAGAGGAGATGACAGCAACATAGCCGAGCAGAACAGGACAAGCATGGGGAATGGAGTGGAGGAGGAAGTGCCCAGTGTGCCATCAGATCTGGCAACAGGCCAGTGGAGGACAGGTGGGGTGGCTGGCACCAGGATTTATCAGACAACCCAAAACTCCCTTCTGGGGGTCACAGATGGCCTGCTTGACCCCACTGGGGAATTACTGCAAAACTCAACTACGGAGCCCAACACCTGGCTCACCCCTACTGTGGGCCCCACTGGCCATATAGTATGGCACCCCAGCCCCACAGTACAGGATACATCACCAGCTCCTCTGAGTACTGTGTGGCCAGGGAACCTGGATCCTGGTCCCTCAAACCCCGCAGACTTGCCAATAACCTCCAGTCCTGCTTCTCCAGTGACCGCTGTCTGTGGTGAGTGGCTTGAATGGCACCTTTTGGGCTATCGGTGCAGGTGAGATCACTGGGCAGTCTTTGCAATGTCAAGTTTCAGTCTAAGGACCCTTTAGAAACATTCAGGGGCCTTTCTCACTTTGGTATGAACAAGCTGAAGGACAGAGAGAGAGAGACCAGACACCCAGCTGCAGGTTGTTGGTTTAGCTAGCATAACAAAGACTCATTATCCGTTCAACCTTTGCCTCCCACATCGTGGTCCCCACATCTTCAAACAGCTTAGCCAGGAAGTTGGGCATCTGAAAGAAACTTGGGGTGATATGAGGCCCATATACACTGAAGTACATTCCACTGAAGTAATGCCTTGGACCCAAAATATTGTACACCCCAAACAGTATTGCACCCTGATCAATGCCGTGAACTCCCAGTAGTGCCACACCCCCTCAGAAGTATTGTCCACCAGAAGTATATGCACTTCCCAATAGTATGATGCGTCCCAGCAGGTCTGCACCACTAGCTGTTTGCACCCTGTGTGCACCACTAGCAGTTCTAGGCCCCAGGAGCACGAGCTCCCAGCACTGGAACACTGTAAGGAGAGGGTTTAGTCATTGCTGAGGCCCTGGTGACATGTGAAGCTCTGTGAAGCACAGGCCTGGTCCTTCATGCCTTCCAGAGGGACTATGCCAAGCTGAGTCTCTGTTGTGAACTGCTGGACAATCCCAACTTGACCTCTTCCAAATTAAACCATCTGTTAGATGGGATCTCCTTCAGGGTATTGCCTCCTCTAAACAGTTCCAGGACAGAATGTTGAAGGTGGCTTAACAGAACAGCAGGGGCTCCCAGATCCCATGCACGGACAGCCACATCAGCCCCATGTTCAGGTAGGTGCAGGGCTTTAAAGGTAGCCATCCCTGTGTGTGGGTTACCTGGGACCTGCCCAGGAAGCCTGTACTCTGAGAAGTCTGGAACTTCATGGGTGTGTTTGAAGGCTGTTCTAGAAGGCACAGGAAATGAGGGGATGTCCTGTCCCAAAACTTTAGGGGCTGTGTAACCAGAAACCTTCATGTCTCCAGTGTGAGGTCAATAGAAAGTCCGTCCATACATCAATCACATTCCTGTTTCTGTGCCTTCTGTGCTTGGAGAGGCTGTGTCACCAGAGTGTCCCTGAGTGTTACCTCTTTAAGCCAGAAGGCCTTTTTTGCAACAGGCTCTCCCCGGTGGGGGAGGAAGAAGCTCTTTAAAAAACTTTTTAAAGCTTTTACATTTAAAATAACCTAAAGTGAGAAGAGGTCTGAGAGAGATCATTGAGTTGACCCTTACTGCCTTCATGTGGCAAGTCTGGCTCTTTTGTTTCATGAGTGATGTTTGCAAACAAGAAGTGCAATTACCATGGTTACCTTTACACCTCTTGGACCAAAAAGAGCAAATATTTAGTGTCTTGACTCAGAACATGATGAGGCAGAATCAGGACACTGACATTCACCGGCTGAGTGTTTATGCAAATATCTCTAAATGATATTGACTTTAGAAGTTTAGCTTCTATATAATGGTATGAAAAGAAGTAGCTCATCAAAATTAGTATTTGATTTTCAGTATTGTTATGTGCCATCAAGTTGCCTGCAACTCATAGTGACCCCATGCACATTAGCTCTGAATTCTGCCCTATCCTGAGCCAACCTCAGTGTCTCTGACAGACTTAATCCCATTTCTCCAGTCATTGAGTCAATCCATTTCATTCTGGATCTTCAAGAACAGTAGACAAGAGAAACAGAGCTTTCAGTTTTAGGGGAGGTTTATTCTTATCTTTCTCTTTGGAACAGAGTTTTGTAGATTTCAATTTTTGGCTTTTTCCCACTTTCTAGGTCAAGTTCACATCAAAAGAATTATAGTCTCCAATGTGACCAGCACCAGCTTCCATGTGGCATGGGAGGCAGGTCTCACTTCGCACTCTGTTTTTCTGTTCACCCTAACTTCTTTGAAAAACCCGACTTTGGACCTTGAGATCCAGAACACTAGTGTGACACTGACAGGACTGGAGCCTGGTGTCATATACACAGTTGTGATAGTGGACAAAGCATGTGGAGAAGAAAGTGCCAAGGCACACTTCAAAGTGAGGACAGGTAATGTGTTTCAGAAGCATCTGTCACCATTTTTTCCTTAAAATAAAGGAAACAAATACGTTTAAAAATATTATATGGATTGAGGTTTTAAAAGTGCTGGATGTTTGTAAGGGCTGCTGGTTTCTGTCTTCTTCTCAGGATGGTAATGTCTGCTTCACTTCACATTCAGTTGTTACACAACTGCTATATACACTGTCTTAGTTACCTGATGTTGCTGTAACAGAAATGCCACAGTGCGTGGCTTTCAAGAACAGTATTTTCTCAGAGTTCTGAAGCCTGAAAGTCCAAATCAGAGTTCCTAGTATGTTGATTCCTTCTATGAGCTCCTCTCTTAACTTCAGATATTTGTCAGCAAACCTTGGCAACCTTTGGCTTGTTGACAATCCTCATATGGTGTTTGTACTTCCATGTATGTATGTATGTATGTATGTATGTATGTATGCATGCATGCATGTATGTATTCTGCTCTTTTAATTACTCAGAAATGATTAGATTTGGGATCCATCCTGTACTGCTCTTACTGCATTAATAGAAAACAAAAACTCTTTTACAGGTAAAATGGGCCAGGACTTCAGGACTTCAATACACATTTTTGGGAACAAATTCGATGTACAACACACGACCTGGCTCATTTGGGTGTTGGGCAGCTTGTGGGTGAAGAGACACCTGTGCCAAGGGCTTCTGACTTTGCCCGCAGAGGTGGCAGATGCCCATTCACCCATGCCCTCATGGGTCCGCAGGCTGGGAAGGTGTGTGGGATCTCTACGGAGCTGTGTCCATCCCCTAGCACATTTAACTCTCAGGAACGACAATGACAATTCGGCAGGTACACAGCCTGTGATCAGTCTGTTCTGACCTGAACCACACAAAACAAGAGACAGACATAGATAGAATTGAGCAATAACACATGTAGAGTCAATGAGCTGAAGCTGATTTTGTTGGCCCACTCTTGGGTTTCTGAGGCTGTAAATTGCACGAGAGGAGGTTTTCTGTCTCCTGCTGTGTGGCTAGTGGATTTGAACCACCAGAGAGGTTTGGTATTTGAGTTAGCAGCAAACCTCTCTAAAGACTTGACCACCAGAGCTCTCTTATTGTTGTTAGGTGTGGTACAACTGGTAGCTACCCTATGAATAACAAACCTGAACATTGCCTTATCCTGTACCACCCACTCTGTGTTCCCCCAAAGCATTTCTAACTTGGATATTATAGTCAACTATAATTCTCCTATGCAGCAGGTGCATGCATGACATTACAGGGTAGCTGGCCATGATTTGACAGCTGTGTTCTCATGGTAGTGCTCACTGCTGCCCTCAGGCTTTGTCTCTGGATCCACTGCAGTCTGGGTGCTGTGTCCATAAGATCCAGGGCAACTTTGCTTTATGTTCTTCCTGGCCAAATGGAGAAACACTTTATTAATATTGAAATGGTAGCCTGTCACCTTAAAGTTAGATATGACAAACATTTTATTCTATTTCCCACAGTGGCCCAGAAGCTCAGTGGAAAAGTCCGAATAGCAAACGTCAGGTATTCAGAAAGCTTCCTCAATGAGAGCAGCAAGGAGCGCCAGGACTTCCTAGAACACTTCTTTAGGATGGTAAGTTGGAGATGCTTGTTTTCTTTTTGGGACAAGAGGATGGTGAGGAGAGGGGAACTAGAATCCTGCTTTCATCCATCCAGGACTTACTTAGGTTATATACCACTGATAACCTCCTCTCTTCTGAAGAAAGCGAAGATATTGGCTTCTGGCAGTGGCAAATGTGCTGCTTGCAGGAGAAAGGACTCTGTTCTCTGCTGCTTCCTTGTTGTGCAAGAATTTTTTTGCAGTGAAAGGTCTTTATTGAATATAGAGTCCTGAGGCGTGAAAAAGGAGTCTGGTGACTAGGTGGTTAAGCCCTCTGCTGTTAACTGAGGGGTTGTTTATTTGAATCCACCATCACGGAAGATGTGGTGGTTTGGTTCTGTAAAGATTAAAGCCTTGGGAACCCAGTGGGCTGCTCTACTGTATTGGAATCAACTCAATGCCCATGGGTTTGGGTTTTTTGGGTAGAGTAGAAATCCCTTCCCTTGCTTTTTAAACAATTTTTAAAAAACCTTAAAATTAACTTTTAAAGTATATAATTCAATGGCTTTGGTTTAGTCATCGAGTTGTGCAACCATCATCACAGTCAATTTGAGAACATTGTCATTACCCCAGGGAGAAACCTGTGCCCATTAGCATCTACTCCTCATTCTTCCCACGTCCGAGCTGCTCATTCCACACAAGCTGAGTCATATAATATTTGTCCTGTGGGGTCTGACTTCTTTAGCTCTGCATGATGTTTTCATGGTTCATCCTACTTTAGTGCATGTGCAAACATCATTCTTCTTCAAAGCACTAAGTAGCCCTTTGTATGGTGCATCCCATTTCATTTATTCATTCATCTGTTACACATTTAGGTTCTTTCCACTTTTGAGTATTATGGACAATGGTGCTATAATTTCCTTCCTTAAAAAAATTGTTTCTGGTCCACAAAAGACAGGACTAAGCAATTCACAGAGAAGAAATAAAAATGCCAAAGAGGTACATAAAAAAACTGTTGACCTCAATGAATTATTAATGATATGCTAAATAAAACAATAATGAGATAACAAAAAAAATTGTTTCCACCCTTCTTTGTGCATCCTGTAACCATCCCCTTGCTGGTTTTTTATAAAGTGTAATATGAGGACTTATAAAAGATAGCAGCTTCAATATTCTTCTTTTTCATGTTGAAATTACTCACTCATTGATTTCCGTAGAGTAGGAACTAACTCACAGCTACTGCCCTTCAGTAGGTTTTGAGAGGCTGTAGATTACACAGAAGAAAATGATCCACTTTTCTTTGTGAAGCAGCTGGTTTACTTGAATCACCTGTCTCTAGACTGGCAGCACAACTTCTACCCTACTAGACCACCAGATCAGTGGAACTTATGCATCATAATGGGGATAGTCCTCTCCACTTGCCCATGTTTATTAATCTTGTATGTTGGCCCATGTCTCTATGTGTGGGCTGATGTTTGTTATCCCTGGCAATGCAGGGCTGTGTCAATATTCTTTTTGATATAGGTTATATTGTCCTTTGAAAAACAGAGGATGTACGGGCCTTATTCTGATGATCTTCTCTGCATAGTGGAAATTTCACTAGTTTGAGCTTTTTCTCAGTCTAGGAAGTTGAGTGTTCATTCCCACAATGTTGTTGTCAGGTGCTGTTGTATTGGCTCAAACTCATAGACACCCTTTGCACAACAGAAGGGAGTTCTGGTGGTGGGGTCTGTAGGGGGTTGTGCTGTTAACCTGAAGGCTGAGCTTCACTGATGATTTGAGTTCACTATCCATTTCTTAGCAGAAAGATGGGTGATGCCTTGGGAACCCAATAGACGGTCAGGTATGAGTGAGTTTCCACTCAGCAACAATGAGTCTTTGAGGACAAAAGAACAAAATACTGCACGAGGCTCAAAAATACTGCAGTGCTTGAGCTTGTTGTTGAAGTGCTGTGCCAATCTATCATGTTGAAGATGGATTTCTTTTTATCTCTGACCCTCTACCAAGGAAAAGTCCTATTTAAGGATTGGATCATTCTGGTAAAATACCCAAAGGATATGGGATGAAATCTTACAGTGTTTGCTTCTGTTAGAAACATGTCTTGGTGTCAAAAAACATGACAGAACAAAAGATCTCGGCAAAGCATTTTACTTCTGCAGAAGGCTGGTTGGGCAGACTCAAGTCTGACCACAAGCACAACAGTGGGCAATCTGCTTGGGTTTTATCCTTGAGGCAAAAGCTAACATTGTGTTTCACCCTACTGGTCAAGGGTTTCAACCTCAGAGTCTTGTTCCTACCCAGTTTGCTGATTTGACCTATGCTTGAAAGGAAGGGTTGAGGGCTTAAGGGTGCTTGGAAGGATGCCAAGACACCAGGATCTTGCCTTGGCTGGTGCTCAAGAAGAGTAAATGGACAAGAGAATTTCTTATAGTAATTTTCAGAAAAGGGTTCTCCAGATTTAATTTCATCTTTTAACTTTGGAAGAGAAGATACTTAGACTTTTTTTTTCTCCTTACAATTCCCCTCTCATTTTATGTTACAGTTTTCATTTCCCTCCCTCCCAAAATATTTGTGGGAGATGTTGCCTCTTATGCTCTTGAGTGTCTAGCAGAAATAGACTATTAGAGTCAGAAGAAAGAGGCTTTATGGTTATAGCTGTTTTTATGAGTTTTTGGATCAGCCTTCTTATACTAGGCATAATACATAATACAATAACCTACAAGTACTAAGACTTTAAATACAATAATGAACATCATCAGGACTGAAGTCATTATCCTTTCTATTTCTTGATCTGTTGTTCTCTGAGGTTAGAGAATGGATCATTTACACTTGAATTTCTGTTAATTCATTTGTTAGAGTGGTTAATTTTTTTACGGTTTTGGCAATAGTTTCGTCAAGGGCAGTGCAATTGGGTATAAAGGTACAGTGTAGGGTCCTAATGATTACATACACACTACTCAGAAAAACACCAGCTGTGAGGGAACTTCATGGGGTAAAATTCAAGGATCTTGGGCTGGAGTTCCAGGAGAGGAACAAATACTGTCTAAGAGCTGAAGAAGAGGCCGTGACATGGGGTAGCAAGGTGAGGTGCCCTGTGAGGTGCCCCAAGAGGTGGTAGCCAGAGGCAGCCCTGGAAGCCCTTAACATATTGTGCCCAAACAAAGATGGCTTGGGGCTAAATGGCCTATGTGTCTTAGCTACAGATGCCCACAGGTCTGGCTAAGATTTCAAGGATCTCTACAGACACATCCTTGAGGTGTTTATTGATTCATTCTGCTCTGGACAAATAGCCTGTTCTTTGGATCAGAGCACACAGTCCCAAGATAAGTAGCAGACACATGAACGTATGTAACTCAAATAATTATGCCCACAATTTGGCCCTAGATCAAACAGATGTTTTATACCTAAGTTAGATAATAGAGGTCAGTTTTCTTTGAGCACTTTCCTTGTTATATTTGTGTCCAAATGTAATTATCCAAGAAGGGTGTCCTTAAATAAGTACAAGAATTTACTTTGATAATTTAGATTTTGTAAGCAAGGCAGGATTGTGGAAGGCTTCTCCTTACTCTAAGACCTGCAACCACTCTTCTTCTCCCCACTGACTTTTCTCTCAGCCTCTTTTTAAACCTCCCTATTCTTTTCAATCCCCCTTACGAGACGGGAGCACAAAGTGCTGTTTGGGGAGTGGGGATGCTGACCTCTATATCTGCTTCCTACTGGAAGGGGCCATAGTTTGCGAATAGCAGACTCTTTTGGGTAGAAGCTCATTCAAGGATCCACAGAAAATCTGGGAGCTCATGTGGGGTTCCATGTCTAGACTATTTGTACTGTAGTCTGAAAGACACAAACTTAGAAAGCATGTTAGAAAGACAAGATCTGAGCAGTAGTAGTGGGGATATGTCATACTTTCTTAAGAGTATTTTAAACTAAGATAAAAGTTTCAAGAATAAATTCAATTTGACTGGATTTTCTCATTTTAAAGACTATGCAGAACAATCCATCATTACTTAAAATAAAACTCCTTTACTTTTTATTCACCTTTTTTTATACTTTCTTTACTTAATCTTATTCTCTAGTTACTTACACTTACTTTCTGGGGGTGGGGGGCGGAATAGACTTTTTTCCTTAAGACCAAACTGCATTCTTTTTCTTCTAAAAGAGTATCAGGTTTTTTTTATCCTTGTATTAAGCCATAGATTTACACACACTTTCTTATGCTTAGTAGAAAGCATAACTGTTTAATCAGTCCCCACAAACTCTCAAGCCTTCTACCATACTGTTTAGTCAGTTCTGACAAAAATTTACATTTCCATCATTACTTACAGATACAGCAAATTTGCGCTTTGGCTTAAGACAGCACACAGATTTCACTTAAATAACTAACCTTTAGGAGTTTTACAAACATTTTTGGTTCTTGAAACTTCTGGAGATTCATGGTTCATTTCCCCCTTTCATAGGTAGATAATTAGAGCCTCTACCAATCTGGTAACAGAGAAATATCTTCAATAGTTAAGGTAATGACATTAGTACAATAAAAAGGACAGAAGAGAATAAAGAGTTAAATTATAAGAAGCATGAGTGTAGGAAAACTGGACAATGTTAAGAAAGAAATGGAACATATAAATATTGACATACTAGGTATTAGATAGCAACCCTTGGGTTGCTATACATCACAGGCAACTCAACAGCCCATAACAACAACAACATTCTATATTGTTTGGTTTTTTAAAAAAATTTTTTTATTTAAGCCTTTTTGTTTAGAGTCAACAAGACCTCAGGGAGGGCTTTTGTATTTAAAGTTGCTTGTTAATATGTTTTGGAGGAATATTCTTCTAAGTGGTACAGCACTCTTCAGTCAATATGCTGTACTGAGGTGACCTGGGATTGCTGTGATGCTGAAATTTGTGCCATTGGGGTGTCAAATGTCATAATGGTTATCCTTGGTGGACAGTGTTTGGTGGAGCTCCCACTTTAAGACAAGTTTGGAAGTAGGAGTGGTAACCACTTCCTAAACAACATGCCTCTGGAAACTC